TGAAGCTGCCAAAGTACTCCTTGCCCAAGGTAGGTTGCTGCTGCTGGAATGCCCATATGAATCTACGGGTATTTTGACTGTACAGAAATTCTTGAATCGAACACAAGTAACTGCAAGATGACATGCAGTGAGTGAAAGCATCGTTCTTCTTTAATAGAACATTTGCAAGCAAGAAAGGACTGAAAACAAAGTCAGCACTTTGGCTAGTCAAGGACATCAGCATGAAATGTAGGCAGATACCACAGCCCACGTCAATTACCATTTCTTTATGGTTGGTTAATTAGGTTTTGGAGGGGAGACTTTTTTTTTTCCTCCTTTTTTTTTGGTCTTAAAATTCCCTTCTCCTGTCCCTATCCTGTGTGGGTTGCTTTTTGTGCTTTGCCTCATTAGCAGATTTTAATGGGAACCAAGCAAAGAGATGTCTTTGTGTGTCTGCTCCATATCTTCCCTAATTAAGAACAATGATGAATTAGCATTGGAGCTTGAAAGGCTATTGCTGCCTTCTGGAGCTGAATTTTTTAAAAGACCTATATAAAATGTTAGCTGCATTTTGAAGAAATCACCATTTTGCAGCTGGGCTCCTAATGGCTTCTTAACAAAGACAGAGGAGGGATTTTTTTGAGGCCTTTTCATTCTCGATATAGTCTGGCTTAAATGAAATTTAAGCTCACAGGTAGCAAATGATCTTGTGGATTCTATGTGAGGTTTAACATACAGAGACAAATGCATTCCCAGAAATTAAGCAAGGATTATCAAAAGGGAAAAATGAAAGTGCAAGGTCAGCCTGTTCCTAGTTGAAAGTACACCAGATTTTGTAGGTAGAAATATGCAAAGCGATAATTTGGCCAATATCACAGCTGGCTGTCTTTGATTCCTCAATCCAGCTGACACATTTATAGTGGATTGACTGGGTGGCCTTCATCATATAACCAGACTGCAGCTCAACCCAGTGCCATACCTTACCTACTCTGCTTTCTACCCTTTGCTCCTGTGTACATCACCTGAAAACCCAAGCTTATAGGTCATTGAGGACCCTACCAGAAGCCATGATACTCTCTTGGCTTTGACACAGGAGACCTGTGGTCTGCCCCAAAATCTTCAGTCACATTTCAAGATAGGTCGGTTTGGAACTACCTGTCCAAGCAAATCAAAATTAAACTGGTATTATTTGAAGTGGCCCTTACCAAAGGAGTTGTGTTTTCAGCATGGTTATTGTAACACCCAAATCAAAATCATCATTTACAGCTGATTCAAACCATCTGTAGAGAGACTGCTTGCTTTGAACTAGTTGTCTCCTTTAGCCCACACTTATTTTTCCAACTGTCCACCTTCTCAAAGAGATCTCTGGAGAGCCAGGGAAAATGCACTACAATTGAATTGCAATGTGTTCTCAGAGAAAAGGAATTGGAGCAATGCATTCGTGTTATCTGACCCAAAGAAAAAGGCAGATATTTAAGGAGATAAGATGCTTTGTCACAATCTCAGAATATCTTCAAAGACCGAAGAGCTACATTTGGCTTGGAAGGAGCTACATTGGAGCTATGGCTGTCTTAGAAGGCTGCTATCAAAGCAGGATAGCTGCTTTCATTAAAAATGCACAAAGCGTTATGCTATTGAAGGAATTGAAACAAACAGCTTCTTTTATTCCTAAATTCTGTTTTATCTCCTTCAGCTAAGAAAGTGGGACCAAATATGGCAAACAGTACTAAGCGGCTTCTGGAACTGAAGGTGGAAATATCAAGCTTTTTGTCTCTGTGTGTCACTCTTCCTAAACTGGAGGGGTGTGAGGGCAGGCAGCTTTGGCAGGTGATACTGCTGCTTGGGAAGGAATGGCCTACAGCATATCAAAACTCAAATATTATTCTTATTGTCGTTGATAGCATGGTAGCCCATTTGATTAAAAGCCTAAATGAATTTGAAACTCTCCCATACAAGAAGTTGTCTCCACATGTGCATACAGGTTGCGATAACCCTGTAAATGGTCTTTACTGAGACCTGTTAATTTCTGCAGCGATCTGTGGGTTGGTACTGCCTGTCCTGTACCACAGCATCTCAAGGTGGGCTCTGTCACAGACTCTGTAATGTCACTCATGATAATCACCTTAAATGTACGCACAGGGTACATTCACTTCTTTTTAGACCAATGCACTGGGCAGACATCTGTGAATACTGAAGCAAGCCAAGCTATTTCTCTTTTTAAAAGATCTGTCCTTAACTGTTGCTGGGCTGAATACTGATGGGATGGGTGCGTGTGGCACCTCCGTTTTAAATTCATCACCTTCTTTCAACCTCAGGATGCACAGCCTGGTGGAAGAAGCAGTAACCACAAAAAACCCCTTAAATACAGACCCTAAAAAGAGCTGACAGTCCCAGTAATTGACAGGATAAAACAGGCATTACGCATCCCTGCTATTTAACTTGCCAGGAAGAAAAGTTCCCTGACCAAGTGCAAAATGGACAATTGAAGCATGTTTAGTAATTCAGAAAGCCTTGGCCTTTAGTCATTTGAGTAGACACCTGATCTAACCCATGCACAGCATCGTGCTCTTTTGTCTTTGGAAAGGCAAGAGGGACAAATAGTAGAATTGCATGTTAATGTACTTCCACTATGTGCTGTTACAGAGAGAGGAAAGCTGAGGCTCTCAGTAGGCAGATGCATGGGGAGCCCCTGAAGATGACGACGACTGTTTGAGAAAGGTGCCTGGCTTCACTTCCCTGTCCTCTTCCCTTTCTGTAGGGAGGTGAAGTGAACATCTGTTGTAGTAGTGGAAGATGCAGTGACACTCTTGCTCCATATCAACATGAAGGCTGTCTTTTTCTATTATTTCTCCCCCCAAAAAATGCAATGTCCACCCTAGAAAAAGCAGTAGAAGTGAATATGATATGCTGATTAATTTTAGTTTTCCCACTGTGGAAACCAAAAAATGCCAGCTGTTGGTCAAAGACCTGTTTGATGCCCATGTACTGATCCCTTTCTATCAAAGCTTTGCATTGTTACTGCATCTGGACAAGGCCATATTAAGAGGAAAAGTTAGTAGATCCCCAGAGGCAAACAGCTGGAACACTATCTTTTTTGACTTTCTGTACTGTGTGTATTATGCCAATTCTTTCTCAATGTCTGCCTCTCCAGGCTTAAATTCCTTCAGCCTTACTGGGATGTTCTTTAGACTTGCATCTTACAGCATGATTTGATCAAAACTCAGGAAGCATCTAGTGGATAAATTAACTTACTTGCTTCTTAAGCATTCATGAAATTACCTTTAGTTTTCCCTGGTGTTGATCAAAATACCTTTTTACCTCTCTTCCCTAGTTATTACAAAACTATTGATTAAAATGGTAAGTTAATGAAACTGTATAGTACATTCACCAGTCAAAATAATTTTACTTATTATCTCTCTATATGTTTAGATCTATGTTTAGATAGAGATGTATATGCACATATGCAATAGTTTAAACTTGAGATTAGAGCTGTGCTAGCCAATGCTACCTGAAGCACATTGGGAACACCTACCCATGTAGATCTACCAGCAGACTGACTAGGGTGACAGTCTGAAATACGGAGCCTCTGACAAACAGCTGCAGCATTAGCTTCTAGCACAGCTGGAGCTAAGAGAGGATATCTGTTCACAGCCACAACTAGGAGAAGGCAGTGGGACTTACACTGCCTTTCCTATTGCCTCGGGATTGAAGCCAATCTGTTCCTCCGCAAGACCAGCTCATCTTCCAGGATACATTTTTCTCCAGCACAAAGCAGCAAGTAAATTAAGTGAATATTCATCCACTCCATACTCAGATCTGGATCTGGATGAACAAACAACTGTTCTGAATCTTAACTTCATGGTGAATCCACTTTCAAATTTATAGATCAGATTTCTTAATTATATTATTTTTCATCTTTACATTATGAGGCTCCATCTGGAAGTATTAATTCCCCCTACAAAACCACGAGAAAGTGAATTGTTGAAGACTATTATTAACAGAAGGAAGAAGTAGCATCAGCTTCCAAAGAGTACATTTTCTGATAAAGTTCCTAGTTTTGCATATAGAAAACCCTGTCTGAGATTCATGGAAGCAGAATAACTTTGGGATATCTGCCCAAAACAGACAGAACAGCTGAATCTTCTGGGAATCACCTGGTGCTAAGAAATCTGCATTTCTTTTCCTACCTCCACAGATTTTTATGGCACCAAAGAACTCTGGGTGCCTGTGCTGGGCAGATAGAGCCTGGGAATTTCATTATTACAATCTCTCTCTTGGTGGCTTTTTCCACTGGGTAGTAATTTCTCCAGGCATTGAAAGAGGGAACCAGGTTTAATAGTTTCTGTTTTTTCTTTAATTATGCAATCTTTTCATTGCTTCCTGCCTGCTGTAACACACAGAACAAACGGAGTTAAAAAACCCCCAAACCTCACTCATAACATTAGTGACCTAACTACAATTCTGCTTTTTACATCTAGCGAGGATTAGGGTTGTGCCTCTGTTATATTTTGGGGAGCTGGGGTGTGTGTGTGTGTGTGTTTAGCACAGTGGTCCAGGGCCTTGGCTTCTAGTCCATGCTGTCATTAGAAATAATAAATAACAGCAGCATTGGCTGCAGACGTTAACCCATTAGATCCTCCTTGTATCAGTTCCCAAGCATACTTGGTTTCTGAATATTTTAAATGCTGGTTTTTTCTTTTTTTAAAAAAAACCACCACATTTTTGATATCTGTGATTCCACAATCACAAGTGGAATCACTCATGTGCCAAAAAAAGAATACACAAATAAACAACCCCCCCTCCCGTCCAAACAAAGTACTCATTAAAATGAAAATGTTGGGGTGGGGGGGAAGTGCTGCTGTATAACACTGTACTGCCAATGTAAATGTTAAATTAACACCTCATCAGTTAATTACTGCTTTGAAAATTGGCAGAAGAGAGCTGGGGTAAAGCATTCCTGGATGGAATTATTTGCTTATAGGAGTGTTGTCTACAGTTTCCAATTAAACTCCAGCTTAAACATATCCCTTGCTCTTCCACAATTACTTTAGTGCCCTTGGAGATGGCAGAGCAGAGCTCCCTCTAGTAACCTGCCTCTCTTTTCTTTCCCCAGGACATGCATGTTATCAGCACAGATGAGAATCAGGTGCTCGCAGCTGTTCAAGAGTGGAACCAGAACGATACGTACAATCTGTATATCTCCGACACCCGAGGGGTGTACTTCACCCTGGCCTTGGAAAATGTCAAGAGTAGTCAAGGGCTGGAGGGGAATGTGATGATTGACCTCTATGAGGTATGTCATGACTCCAAACATCTCATTTCTATCTCAGGAGCTCATGTGGTGTCAGTACCGTTTCCTTCTTTCACATCAGTGTTGTTATATGCATGTGAACAGCAGAACCAAAAAGTGACTAAACACAGTTTTACCCTCCTTTTACTTAAGGGTCTCACTGCAATCAGCTGAGTTTCAAGGCCAGGTTTCACATAGGTGTTGAATTTAGGCCCAGCCTAATATTGTGAACAGATTCACCGCTTTACTCTCCTGTAGGTTCTCAGGTGAGGAAGAGCTCATGGCTCTTTCAGGCATAGGAAGATATGCATCAGAAGATGTAATGGAAGCACCCAGTCCCTAAGAGGAAATCTCAGCCAAAATCCTGCTCTACCCACATTGGTCCTGCCTATGTCTCTGAAAGCTCCCAACACTATGAATAGCATCATTCTCCTTTTTTTGTTGCATTTCTGACAGCCTAATCTGGTTTAGAAGAAAGGAGTGACAGCAGTTTTCAGCTATCTTTGTCACCTTCCTCAGCTTGGACTATTCTGGGAACTGAAGTGATTCTAGATGGACCATCTTAGGCTATCCCATGGGCACAGAAACTCTTCTACCTCATCCTGATGTCCCTGTTACCCCTGAGCCTTTTGCTAAGCTCACTTGTAAGAAGGCCAAGGATAACTGATCCTAAGAATAGGACTTCTAATGTGCCCTCATACTTCTGTTGCTCTGCTGCCTGTTTTACTTCTGGAGGCAGCACTCAGCTAAGTAGAAATTCAGTCCTCAGCTGCTGTTTTGAGGGTCAGCTTCTCTTTTCAGGTCTCCTCCAGGGGTTTTTCTGACCATTTAGAATAAAGGCCATGAACTAGATCTGAGTTCCTTTGAAAATGAATATGCTTCACGTATTTCTCCATCACCGTCTCAATACTAGCTCTGCTGTATAGTTAGCCTTCAGCTGCCCTTTACTCGGAAGCCACCTTGAATTTTCCAGAGAGCCCAAGTGTTGTACATAAATGCAGATGAACTGTAGGAGGATGGGTACTGGCATTTCAATCGTTTGGTGATTTTTACTGTTAATCTCTCTGCAATGTTGGCAGCCCGTGGAAAGACTGTTGCCTCAAATTACTGTCAGCTCGAGAAGCAGTTTCACTGTATTATGCAAAGGTGTCCTACATCCCAGGGGGAAAGAAAAGCCTCTGGTTTGTTTTATTAAGCTGACACCACACAGTAACCTGGATTGAAATTGATGGAATCAGACTTTTGTAGCATCATATCTACTGTTTATCTAGATAGAAAGAATAGTGGCCGACACTGAACCTGGCACAAACCTTCCTTTCAATTTGATGTTCTAGCTGGAAGGGAACAGAAAGCCATCCAGAATGATTCTCCCAGTAGGGTTGTTGCAAATGATGAATCTTCTAGGGGTAAATGGAGATGAAGACAAGAGAAGAAAAAAAATTCACAGATAAATTAAAAGGGAGAGATTGCAAAATGAGTCCTTCTACAGTGACAGCAGTATATTATATTATTATATATACAAGCAAGATTATTGAGAAGATGCCAGAGAAAGACCTGTTAAATGTGCATGTGTGTATGTGTGTTTGTCAGGTGCTAGAAGTCAGTTCATCTGGTTGCATTGTAGCGAATGTGTTTGTGTGTGTAGATTCCTAAACTGATTCTACATCAAGGATAAATCTGCTCAGTGCTGTTCAACTGGGAATTGCATTGGGCATGAAGAGAAAACAGAAGTTCTTTCATGGTGCCTCATCAGGTTCTCTCTTCTCTCATAAGTCATCAGGACCCTTTCACCTGGAGGTGGTTGTTTCAGTGTGTGGGCTTTGCTGCTACTGGACCTTGCCGAGGGTGAGGAGGCCGCTCCTAGAGGCACGTTATTCCCCCTTCTGTTGGACAGAAGGGTATAAGAATGGCTCTTCTCTCCACCACTTTCCAGTGCCACTTCATCAGTAACACACTGGGCTCAGCATTCAAAGGGTCTGCAGTCACAAAGGGGCTGTCCTAGAGACCATCTGCTAGAGCAAGAGAAGAACGCCCGTTCTAGTTCCTGCACCTCTCCAGTGATGTGGTGTGGCTTTGTAGTTGGACTGGACCACAGAAAGATAATTCTGCCTGGGAATCCATGCCTGAAGTGGTAACAGACTGCAAGGAGATGTGTCTATAGCTATGGTATATAAGCCTATCACTCTGGGACTTATTTTTTTTAGCAGTATGCATCTTGGATGGGAAGTATATGTTTGACGTATGAAGTTGGTGATGGGGAGTGAAGAATGTATAATGAGTTGTGTGTTTGGGTGTCTGGTATGAATCTTTCACTAAAATTGTAGACAGCATTTCTATCTGCATGCAGTGTATTCGGGGGGTGAGGACTGTCTACAAAGCCTCCGTGGGAGCTGATGGAGTGCTTTTCTCTCTGACCACTGGTGCTCATGCGCTTACTTACACGAGTCTTTCTCTCTTACGACTGTACGAACAGCAGGGTTGAACAGATCACGGTGTGTGTCATGGTTGTGTACGTGCCATAGGTGTATCTCTTCCTACTGAGAGCACACAAACATGTATAGCCTGTGTGGTCTTTTTTTTAATATAAGCCTGTCCAAGACTGACAGTATAACTTACACTTTGCTTTCTCTGGAAAGGATTCTGAGTCCCAGCCCATGACTAGAATCATAAAAAGAAAAATTCACAGGATTTCAGAACACATCTATCACCTGATATATAAAATGCTCTTTAATCATTTATGGCCACCATTTCACAGGGACTATATAATATAACTATTTCAGGACAACAACAAAGAAAAGTACAAATGGAGCTACAGGCTCTGGCCTCTGGTAGTAAAAGCAGAACTATGTTATTTTTCCAGCACTGTCTATTCATGCAGTATCACTGGGAGACAGAGTACCCTTGTCTTATCAGGGTGCCTTTCTACTACAACAAAGAAATCCTGAATACTGAGTTGGGTGGTACCAAACAATCCAGTTAGGACTTTGAAAACAGTATCTTTTTGTGCTTATATCAACAATAAATTAATTAACCACTTAGCTTAAAGGCTATTGCCTGTTATAACAAGTCATGTCTAAGTCTTTATATAACTTCAGATGAAATTCAGTGCTATTGCTCTAGGAGAAAAGTGTTATTCAGAATGACTAAGTGCACCAGGGTACCGTACCAATGCACTGTACTCCAGTAGTCCCACAGCATGTGACTAAAAGTGCAGTAAGGTCCTACTCAGTGGGAGCTGCAGCATCCAAATCCAGCCACATAATTAAATCAGTTGACCTGGAACAAACTCTCAATCTGCTGCGTAACTATTTGCCGTGTGATGCCATTTAAGTAATAATCTCTATGAATAAAAAAAAAATCTTATTGAGCGATTCTGTGTACTAGTTCTGCATCATAAGAAGTGATGGGGTGGATGACTGCACAGGCTTGCTGCAAACCAAAAAGTTTCTCACTTTCCCCCTCCTTCTCCCGATTTCGCTTCCCATTTTATTGCAGCGCTCAGATTGCAGAATGACAGCCTAACAAATTCATTCGCAAGCTGCAGCAGCTATTGGGCTATTGATTTTCAGTGTGCTGAGAAGATGGGAACATTCTGCAGTGTGAGTTGTGGTTTGAGGTTGACTTTTTTTCTCCCCGCTAAGACACTTTTGGGCTTGGTTCCAATGTGAGTCTGTTAGCATCACATCTTTACAAAATCCTCCTGCAGGTCTGTGGAGTGAAGCTGTTGGGTAAAACACCAGGAAAAATGAAAGGATTAAAATCTCATTGTTGGCTCTATAACTAGCATTCTGGGTGGCCTTGCTTGAGACGCCAGTGCCTTGGTTTCCTCAAAATACAAAATGGTAATAAAAATACCTCTGTGCCCCAAGTGATCCTGTTGAAACACTGATAATTATGAAACACATTGGGATCCTTAGATGAAATGTCTTAAGCAGGCTGTATGAGAATAGAAGCACAGAACTGCAAGTTTATGTGTCTGTTGTCATTTTCTTTGCAAGGCCAAAATTGCTGCTGTTTCCTGCTACTACAGTGCAAAAGATGAGTAATTGCCCTGCACGTATTTCACCTTTCGGTGGAAGGATGCCTACACAGCTGAGAGATTGTCACTTTACAGATAATGCTATTGACATCTTACCATGTTCCCCTGCTGATTCTGAAATATAAGCTTTCTTTTCCATTTGTCCCCTTCCCACCTGTGATGGTCTTACCTTGTCCCCAGCACCTCAGTTGGTCTTCCTTTGATGCTCCTTGGCAATTCTTGCCCCGGCATCTACCGCACTGACACAGCCACCACATCCCTGTTGGGTTTGACACACGCACAGAACCTGCATCGGCTTGATTTATTTTTCAGCCATGTCAATTTTTCCTAGGTAGCAGGGATAAAGGGAATGTTCTTGGCTAACAAGAAGATTGACAACCAAGTGAAAACTTTCATCACCTACAATAAAGGGAGAGACTGGAGTTTGTTGCAGGCTCCGGACACTGATCTGAGAGGAAACCCCGTTCGCTGTCTCCTAGTAAGTACTTGGGGGGGGAACTTGGGGGGTGGTAACATCCCCAAACCATCTTTTTCTATCAGGTCACACAAGGAGAGGGCGGATCCTCTCTCCATGCGGTATATCTCATGGAGGTTATAAAAAGTGCAGTATTAGAGTCTAAAAAGTGCATATTAAAAGTGCGGTACATCAGGCTTGGGCTGCCAGGTAGTATTGCAAGAGCTGGCATTGTAATTTTAGCTTAATTTAATTTAATTTCTGGAACAAAAGGAAGCATCGTAGATCAGCTTCCTTCTGCACAACTGATGTTCTCCCCTTAAACAGCAGGTGAAGCTGGATGCCGTTTTTGCGCAGTTGATTCTCTGGACACTAGATGGGAGGAGTGAGCTGTTGTAGCTCAGGAACTGTCAGGGACCGAATGCCAGGCTCAAAGGAAAGGAGAGCTCTGATTTCTTTCAGGCCACTCACTTGGCAGTATTAATATTTATCATTTTCTCTTTGAGCTCAGAGGTGAGAATCGACACATTCAACCAGATATATGCATAGCTATGTGTTGGGTGTATATTGTATCTGTCTCTGTACTTACTGGTATAGATCAACATGCAGATAAGTCTTTAATCATCGTTATAGGCAAACGATTTCTGAGAGTGAAAGTGAAATATAAACAGTGTGAATAGAATTGGAGAACTCTGTCAAATTAGAAAGCTTAGACTGATCTCGACGTGTTTTTCAGCCAATATAATCTATACAGAGTAGTGGGATAATACTCGGAACCCCAGCCTTTGGGATTCTCAATAGCTTTTATGTTACACAAATTCTAACATGGTTCCAGGCAGAATCAGGGGCACTGCTTACACTGCTCTTCCTCCTGCTGTCCTGTACCTGCATGTTATTTTTCACCCCCCAAAAAACCATGCTGTTTCTCATTTTGAGGCTGGAAGTTTGTTAGAATCTGAATCAGCGTTACATTTTGTGCATTGTGGTATGTAGCTGGATACTACATTAATCTCTTAACTGAACCCCATGCATTATTGCAAGAGCAAAGAATAAATAATGTGATATTTGAAGCTGTTCAAATAATTGATTTTTTGATTGAGCCAAATTGCAAGCCTTTTCTTTTCTCTCTAGTTTGGAAAGAATAAATAGGGAGGACTGGGGGTCAAACAGAAGAGTTATTTCAGAGCATGACTAAATTTGTTTGAGTTACTTTCTTCTTCCAAGTTTTTAAAAATTGTAACTAAGGGCATTTTAAATTAAATCTTTCTAGAAAATGAAAGCCAAAAACATGACATTCAGAAAACTTTGCAGACATAAAGCAATTGAATTTTTTGGAAGGGGCTTTGTGTAGAAGTCTTTGTGTTTCAAATGGATTGTAATCTAGTTTTAACTCAAGTGAACACATTTGACAAAAGGCACACCTTGACTTTTTCAAATTATGACCAAATTTATCAGAAACCCAAGACTGTTATTATATGATATAATAGTGTAATATTTTGGGGGTCTGGCAAGGCAGAAATAAAAACCATGCAGGCAAGTAAAATAATCAAAGCTCCATTCTTTTCCCATAAATGTGAAGTTTGAGGTGTGAGAAAATGTCTTTCTTTGCATTGGTGCACACTGATCAAGAGAGATCTGCCTTGCCACTGTGGTTATAAATGAGCCAGAGGTACTGCTCTGCAGGGCCCTTGCCGAACGGTCGTTTGCAGGAACTGTGTATTTTATATACAAGGGTATGCTGCCGCTGTAGTTATCCACTATATAGTGGAAGTGGTCGTGTGATTGTGTATAAACCAGGACTGGATGGTTCTTATGGAGAGAGGGGATTATGGCTCCCTTAAGCCTTCCATCCATACTGTATCTGCTAGTATACTCATGGGCATCTGAAAACACAATTTCATTTAAAATTAGGCGAGATTTGCCCAGACAAGCTGGCATTCCCTTGAGGGTGGGAAACTTAAACAAGCCGGGCGAGGGGTCATGGACAGGGGCAGCAGTGTGGGAGCTTGTAGAGGCACAGTGACCCAGAGGAGCTCTTCATTTGCTGTGGCTTGCATTTATATCCTTGTAGCTGCAGTGTGCACAAACCACTATTTAAACACTGGTTCATTTTTATTTTGTTCTCTATGCAACCATGTAGTTGCCCTGAGAATTGCTTCCACCTGTGCAAGCTCGATGTAGGCTTGTCACCCTGTTTGCACTGGAAAGCAACCACTTCCTAAATGCTCTGCGACGGGCTGCCTCTGCGAGGCATCTCGGGTCCATGGGCATCTATAGAAATTGGTCAGTGATTTCAGCATGGTAAGGGACAAAATCCTCAATGGACTTAAACCACATAGTTCAGTCTTTGCCCTTCCAGAAGAATGGGAAGGAACTTACTCAGTCCTTCGCCATGATAAGGCCAGAGGAATGTTTAGCCATGTGTATTTTGCCCTTAACATGAGGTAAAACAGACAAGAAGCCTCTTTCATTGCCTGAGCCTGCCTGCCTCCTCCATCCTTAGGTTGTCACAAGCTAGTGGAACGGCAGAGAGCAGGGATCATCAGCTGAACATACAGGGTCTCAGGTGGCTGACTTGCAAATTTGCAAGAAAGCAAATAGATGAAATCTGAACTAAACTGACTTGTTAGGTGTTTTACAGAAACAGGCAGTCCGCCTGCAAAAGAAAGGGAGGTACAGAAAATACACCAAAATCACAAAGTAAAATAACAATCCTACGAGAGAGGCAAGCTATGTCTGGTTTGAATTTCGCAGTTAGTGATGGGGGAAGATGAAGGCAGAATATGGAATGCAAGAATTCAAGAAATGATAGAGAAAAGACCACAGAAATTGGGAGTGGTAGGGGAAATTTTTGAAGCAAAAGCACTGGCAGCGTTGTACATTCCTGGAAATAAGTCAGGGATCCATAATGGCATTCTGCTGAGGAAAAGCATGGAGAAAAGGAATTGTCCCCTGCTCCTGCTCCGAGGCAATTCTGTTTCTTGTCGATGTGGCATAGCTGTAATATTTAAACAGTTCACAAACTTCTCTCACCTCTTTAGCCACACTCTGTCTACCCCTGCATCACCAGAAGTTTTACCTCCTTATGTCAGTTGCTCCTTTTCCCTCTCCATATTACTGTTCTTGGCATGATCCTGCTTCTCCTCGTGGCATAGCTGAGTGAATTCTTAATAGTCCACTGTACATCTAGCTCAGCTCCCAGCCTTACTCCGTGGCAGATACTAATGCTTTTGCACTGCTGATTTTCAGCATAATTGTCTCTAGCAATAGCTTGGGACACAGCAATGACACGTGGTCCTGCTTGTGGGCAGAATGGGATCTGCCCTTTTCCAGAGTGACAGGACGGTCCCCAGCCCGTGAGTGCAGTGCTGTGTCCTCTGTGCATCTGGTCTTTATTCCTAAACTAAGGGAGAGTTAATGCAGCAATAAGTACGTAGCAGCCAAAGAGGTTAAGAGGGAATCTGGTTGAAACACAAGGCAAGCCAGATGGAACCATCCCTCTACAGACAGTACGCTCAAGGTGTTTTTTAAAAGTAACTCAAAGAATTTCTTTGCATTTTTTTCTGAGATGGCTCTGAATAATGAGGATGGAGGAAAGCAATGAAATTCCATCTAATGCCAAGGTTTTATTTTTCTCATTTATACCAATTGTTTTCTATGCCGAATATACTTAATCTCCATGAAATAGCAGCCAAGGTATTATATCCCAAAGATGCTGCTTTTGTTTGATACTTATCTTGTGCTGTGAAGTGGTTAACTGAGGAGTAATTCTATCTTGCCAGTTATGGGCATCTGTCTAGGAGAGTTAATCAATTAGTTTTTAAGGATGGTCTTGTGGTTAAAACACTGGGCTGAATCTCAGGAGAATCTTTATTCAATTTTTAGGCCTGTCTCCAAGTTCCTATGTGACCTTGGGCAATTCATTTATTTTCACTGTGCCTCTTCCCCAGACACCTCTTTATTCCCTCCCACGTTTTTTTTTTTTTTTTTGCCTTGTCTATATGGGTTATAAAGATTTCAGGACAAAGACCCATTTCTCGTAAGGGAGGGCATTCACACCATCTGCTACAGAATAATTTAAGCATCTAAGTGAGGTGTTTTGTATCTCTCTCCTGGAAGTGTTTCTTTCTCTTTGTTGCTCCTTGCTATTTCAGGTGAGCAATACCCCTAGCTTTGTGAACAGTGTCTAGCATCATCCTTGTCTTATAATACTTTGCCCCACTCCTGACCAGGGACAGTCACTAATAGCTCTTTTGTACGTCATGCCATTGGAGACCGTCCTGGTTTTGGCTGGGGTCAAATTAATTTTCTTCATAGTAGCTGGCATAGCGCTGTGTTTTAGATTCAGTACTAGAAGAATGTTGATAACACACTGATGTTTTAGTTGTTGCTGGGTTAAACCACAACAGAGGCTGTTCAGGTGGGCTTTACAGAACAGTCAAGAAGTGGGTTTGTAGGTATTTATGAGAAATTTTACTAAGGAACTGCTGAGCCTCCTGAGAGGGGAGCATAAAAGTGCCGGCTTGAAAATATTAGAAAGCAAGTAATGAAGTCCAGCATGACTGTAAGAACTGAGGCAGTGAGCAGAGCAGTGGGCTATGTCACTCATGCTTTATCTTCTACCTAGGTTGTAAATGCTCCATGGCAGTGGTTGTCTTTCCCTTGGTGCCTGTGCAGCACCTAGCACTGCTGGGTACTAGGCAATGACAGGGAAACCCAAAATTGGTGATTCTGATGAAAATAATGATTTCAGTAGCCTGTTGGTAACAACAAGGATAGATGTCTGTATGTGAGTTAAGCTGTGGGAGCTAGAGGAGGAACACAAAGGGACTGATGGTGTGATGGAACACAAACCAGTCTGGAAAAGTATCTGTCAATGAACTATATAAGGATACAGATGGAAAAGGTGTACATCAGGGATGGAGAAGAGAATGCTACTACAGCAAGGACATGAGATGTCCATGGGCAGTAATGTTAGGTGTTTGGCTAGAGTGGAGAGGTTGGTTTTTACACCATACCCAATTGTCACTAGACACTGTAAGCATTACTGTCGTGTCGCTAAAAATACCATCTTTCTGCTTAGACAGGTGACCTGGCTTTTAACAGTTGAGATCTATATTCCATTTCTGTGTACTATATCTGTGAAATGAGACAAATGTGAAAGAAAACCTCTGGTAGTGCAGAGATTTGAGTCTAATAAGGTCTAATCTCTGTTGGAGTACAGAACTGGCTGAGTTGCTGCCATTAGCTACTGGCTTCAAAATGCTGAAGTGGGCTTGGAGTATGTTAGTTTTAAAAATATGTTCTGTGTTTAATCTTTTCACAACATATAAAAATGTAAAAGGAGGGGAGTTCATGCTCTTGCAATGCTTTTCCACTTCCTGCATGCATGTCAGCTCGATTTGATTTCCACTCCCTCCCTGCACCCCTGGGCTGCTCCAGCGGCTGCCCATGCAAGGCTGTCAGTTAGAGTTAGGCTGCTCAGTACATTCCACGTGGCAGGTTGCGTTCCCTTCTGCACAACCCATGCCCCCTTTTTCTGTCTCTCATAAGTGAGAGCTCTCATCCTTCCTCACCACCCTCATTCACCTTTGCCCAAAACCCCTCCTGCCTTTTGTTGTTGTCATTCTCCACAGGGATATTTTAATTTCAGAGTCATAAACACCTGCCCTGAGATGGAATGGATCAGTGATCTTCCTCCAGTGACCTATGGGACTAGGTCTCCTGCAGAGGAAGCCTACCAAACTTTTGCGGCTGGAGACCTAGCCTTTAGGCAACTGATATTAGACAGAGCAACCTGCTTCCTAAGAGCCTGAAGGGCCTTATGCACAGCCTCTCCTGCTTATCTTGCACAGCTGTGCAAGCTGAAGCTTGGGCTTTGCTGTGTGTTCCTGTGTGATGTTCCCCTCAACTTGGCTTCAGGTTTTCTTCCCAATATTTTTCCACCTCCCCTCCCTTAGCATGTTTCACAAAGGACTCTTCATGAGGTTGGGAGGAAAAAAATATTGAAAATAAAACTCAAGAGAAGGCAAAAATTATCAAAATTTTCAGAAATTATCAGACTACAGATTTGGAGAGAATTGTAATGGCAGCTTTGGAAATCTGTCTGTCTTACCATCTTCCTCACCTGGTTTATTCTGTACCATTCCTGTCTTTTCTGAGCACCTGACATACAAGATCAATATCAAACAGCTGATGTTTCCATGGATGTATTTGTATTTAAATATCAAAGGTCATGTCCAGATGGGGCAATGAAGCATTGTATTAAACACCTTTTAAACTAACACTTTCCAGTCCTGGTATTTCTTCTTAGTGCAGTGCAGAAGAGTCATGTGTGAAAAATACTCAGAGTCAAGAAATGGTGTGGCACTGTCTGAATTACGTTGTTTCTCATGGCTATTTGGTGGTGACTCAGCACCCCACCAGTAGGGTTATGTTGCTTCTTGTTGCAGAGATAACATGGGCACTGCTGCTCTGACAGTCACTTCACTCTATCTGCAGCCTTGTTTGCTTCTCAAGAGAGCTATGAGCCAGGGCAGCTAGGTAGTCCTTACCATTACCTGCTCTTGCAAGCCAGGTTGCCTCTTTTGTGGGTACAGCCTCAAAGATCTTGTCCTTGTGAGAGGCTTTCAGCCTAGTGAATCAGTTTCCCAGTGGGAACAGGTTGGGTTAGAAAATGATTGCGAAGCTCACAACAGAAGCAGGACAGCGGCCATGTATTTCTAAGGGTGGCTGGATGCAGTGATTAGGAAATAATGCAGAAAGACTTTGTATGTTTTTAAGCCTGTAGCTTAAGGAGCATGCACTTCATGTTGTGTCTGCTTTTTACTTTTATTTCCCCTTTCTCCATAGCCCTATTGCTCCCTTCATCTTCACCTGAAGGTCTCAGAGAATCCCTATACCTCAGGAAACATCGCCAGCCGAGACACTGCCCCCAGTATTATTGTAGCTTCAGGTATGAAACACTTAAAGATTGCCTGTGTATGATGTGCAAATGCTGACAATATCTTTAGTTTGTGATGGGTGTGGAGGGTGTTGCGTGGGGTGTCACACCACCCATAGCAGGAAGGAAGGAAGGCTGTCAAACGGAAGTCCTTCAACTTGTCATGGTTTTTTTGGAAAGTGACCTTCAAGAACATGGAGATCGCTTCTAGCCCTCTACTCCCATGAACATTAGATTCAAACCAAGGCATTTCCTTTGCATATGGAGGTGTGTAGTGCTGCACGCATTGGATCTTTTATATGTATTTTCTTCAAGCAGAAAGTCTTTCTTTTCCTTCCCCCCTCTTTCTCTTCCCAGAACTAAAAGTTCTATAATTGCAAAAGGTGAATACATACATTTACCCCCCTGATTTTCTAATTCTGCTGTTTCTTAGTGTTGCATCACTAACCAATGCTCATCTTACAGGTAATATAGGCACTGAACTGTCAGACAATGACGTCAGCATGTTTGTTTCTTCTGATGCTGGGAACACTTGGAGACAGGTAAATGACACAGATTCACAGTTTTGAATAGTAATCATAGGAAATTGTCATAGAATTAGATTCAAAATATTGCTTAATTTTTGTTTCTTTTGGTTCAGAGTAGCTTTTTGCAGATCTATACAAAAGGGAAAACTTTTATTCTCTTCTGAGAGGCAGAGATGCCCAGAGAAAGAACTGCATTAGACTTCACATAACAGAAAATTATTTTTCTAATTCTACTCAATTTGACTTCAGTTTAACCCTGTAGCAAAGCATAGAACAGATTAAAATATTAATATATATGGGGAGAGTTTCTGTTTCCTTTTACTGTTGTACAGCCCTTGTACTGATCAAACCATTTTTCTCTTCATCCATGATTACGGTTTCCAGAGAATTAGCAGTTGCGCTAATCTACTTCTCCCTCACTACATGTGGGACTCATTTCACCAAAGCTGAGTTATCCAAAGTTCAGTGTCCGTGTAAACCGATAATTTTGCCTTGCTCTTAAGTTATTGGAGAAAAGGACAGAATTCGGTTCATCCTGTTCCGAAGCTACCTCTCTCTCCATTAATTGAGGAAAGAGACTGGATGATGAAGTTAAATGAAATGCCTCATATTTAGTGAAAACCCACCTGTTAACAAAGCATTGCTACCCTTTAATGTGTTTATCCTCAGAATGGGAAGTTCTGTTTTTCCTATTTTTCTGGGTAGGATATCAAGTCATGGAGTATAGGAGCAACTTTCCCGGACTGACAAGTGCTGCTATGTAAACTGGAGAGCAGATGTTTGCAGAAAGTCAATACAAAAAAGACACAGGAAAAGAAAATCTTTTTAAAATATTTGATATCCTAACAATCTAATTATTGTACAGTGTTTGACCATCCCTCATTTTTCTCATGCATCACTTACGTGAGATAGGCCCAGATATGTGCAAACACATAAAGTTCTTCTTTAAACAAAAATCTGTCGTCGAAATGAGGCAAATTATTGATCCTTGCAAAAATTCATGTTTCTAACTTTCTATCAAGCAGAGGCAGAATGCATTTTCCAAGGACCTGGGGAAAGTCTAAAAAAAAAAAAAACCAACCCAAAACAATAAAAAACCAAACCCCAAGAACTGTCCCTATAAGAAATGCCTTCCTCTATTCAGTAACTTCCTTAGCACATACCTGTCCTCTGCCATCATCATGCTTAATGAACTATGACATTTTCCTGATAGTAAGGAAAATTAATTTAAATAGATGCTTTTTTTTTTTTTTTTTCCAGATCTTTGAGGAAGAGCACAGTGTTCTGTACCTGGATCAAGGTGGAGTACTGGTCGCCATGAAACACACATCTCTGCCTATCAGACATCTCTGGTAATGACTCTGTCTATTCTAAATGTCTGCTGTCCCTCTTTTCAGATGCCAGGAAGTGGGAAGTTGGGCTGCATCCAGAGTTTTCTGTAGCTACAATCCAGAAAATATCAGTTAAGATACTGGTAAACATTAACTCAGATAAAGCTAAGATATCCTAGCAATTCCAGCTTATGTAGTTTCAGTTTGGCCAGATCTGAGATATTGTCAGTGTAATTTCAAGATTTTCCTGGTTTACCACAACTTGGCTTGTTGGATTTTGTTATTTATGTAAAATTAATCTGGATTTTGGCTTTGTCTCTTATTAAGTGGCCAAAGTACTCTTAATTTTCAATATTATTGATGTACTTGTCTTCTATGGGGCAGGCAGCACTTAGGACCCAGGATTTTGCTGAATAGATTTGGGGTTATATAGCCAATAAGGCAAAAGTGTCCCCTCTAGTTAGTATTCTTGAGTTTATGCGGTAGATACAGTTTTGTGATGTTTTGCACAATTCAATTCCACTACAGTCAGTGTCGTATCAATATCTGAAACACACAGACCCAAGTCTTAGGAACTGGTGAGCAGTTCCAAGCTTTCATTTAGACTCACCTCAGGAAAGACTGCTGGTCAGAAGAGGCAAAGCTCTTGTGCTCCAGAAATCTAACCTCCTTAAAATGTCTTATGTTGGGGACCCAAAAATAAGATGCTTAAAATCACTTGTTTATTTTAAAAAAATCTTAGCCCTAGGGTACATTTTGCCCTTAAAGCATCAATCTCTAACATAACTTCATTAGTTTCCACTGCTTAAGTATTGGCCATGGGTTAGCAGTATGATGCCAAACAAGTTGGATCAATGCTTTGATTTATGATGCTTCCCAAAAAGGTAGTTATTTAAAGGACTAAAAATGCAATATTCAAGAACAGAATCTGCTCCTACTTCTCCATAGCAGCTGTAGTGGCCTAGAGAGTCTCTTCAAGTAAAGTAGGAGGAGAGTAAGGAAAGTACTAATTCTGCTTTCTCCACTAGGTTAAGTTTTGATGAAGGGAGATCTTGGAACAAGTACAGTTTCACATCCCTCCCACTGTTTGTAGATGGAGTTTTAGGGGAACCTGGAGAGGAAACTCTCATCATGACGTAAGTGAGCGTGCCATAGTGCTAATGTTGATGGGAGCTACACCGAAAAGAGCTTACAAGGGTTGGTTGTAACATAATAACATTTCTGGTTGGGGACCAAACAAAGTGCTATCTGAAGCCAGGAGTATGCAGTCTTCTGTTGCTAAATCACCAATGTTTATTTGTGATATGATTGAGGGAATGACAACACGGTTTCTTGCAAGCTGCAAAAACTCTGTCAGTTAGCTTATCGGCAGGAAACCTTACTCCTCAAATTGAATCTGATTTAAAGCAGAGTTACCCTGGACAGATGAATATTTGAAAGAAAAATGGTGGGATATTTTTATAACTGTTTTGCTGCTACTTTCTTTTTTTTTTTTGACTGAGACACAGAAAAATGAAGACAGTCTTTTGTAAAAATGAATGACAAAATGTTGCCTGGAGGCTGACTCATGAAAAATTATGATTAGTTTAAATGTTGAGCTCTGCATGGTGCATAAATCTGGATTCACCCTGCCAGAAATTGTGACATTTTACCTGAGACCAGATTTGCAAAAACAGGAGGAAAATTCAGTTTCTGTCTGTAAAAAATGGACTGACCTGTAAGAAACAGAGTATGTGGCTTGGAAACTAACCTGAGCTAAGAGAGATGTATGAAGAATGTTCCCTTCAGGTTCTGAATTTAATTCATGTGGAAGGGATTCCCAAAGCTCATAATTGAGATATCAAACTGCTGCAGGTATAACTGTCTCCAGCCCCATATCAAGTCTTCTCTGTGTAGTAATTTTGGGGCTTGGCATAAGTGAGAGGGTCTTGATCCACAGAATAAAAGCTACATGTAGTTTTTAATAGAGTTGTAGGTATTTAGGAGCCTAAGTCTGACTTTCATTACAACATTCAACTGAAAATCAGTAGGACTGGCACTCCTAAAGCAATTAATCTCTGTTGGAAATTTGTGGGTGACTGTACCTCTGCAACTGCCAGACTCCATCTGGTGCTACCTTTTACTGTATGCTCTTTCTGCTGTATTCTGTAGAGTGTTTGGACATTTCAGCCACCGCTCAGAGTGGCAGCTGGTGAAAGTAGACTACAAGTCCATTTTTGATCGGAGGTGTGCAGAAGAGGACTACAGGCCTTGGCAACTCCACAACCAGGTGAGAAGCAGGGAGGCTGGAATCTGACCTGAAGTAGCTAATGATCCGACAGTTAAAAAACAGCATGATCCCATGTCTTTTCTTATTAGGTTGGCGTATCAGATTGTCCCTTACTGGATGGGTCTGTTTTGTCACATAGGCGTGTTGGCCTCAGATTATACTCTGTGAGCCCCAAAGGATGAGCAGCTGCCTTTTGGGTCTCATTCTCCATGCAGGCAATTAGTTCAGACTTACCCAGAGCTGAGGAATGCATCAACAGCAGAAGCACTGCTGCTGAAAGAGGCCTGAACTATTTCAGTCTTAGATCTCCCATCCAATTTCCCTGTCCTTACCTCCTTTCTCTTCCTCCATCCTTCTGTGTCCTCACAGCCAGTGTCTTAAGATCCTTCTAGTTGCTTTCATACTTGTTTCTCCTGCCCTCTTAGCCTCATTTCTTACTCACTTGGTTTCATCCTTGTTCTGTCTCTCTCAGCAGTGGTACTTCTGCTGTGGGAGTCAGGCACTTTACTCCTTCTCAGTCCGTTGGACCCCCATGCATCCTGGATGCAGATGCTTAAGTGCCCAGCAAAGTGACGTGCTCCGCACAGTGCCTGTGCCTGCCTTGGGGCAGCTTCCCAGCTCTGCCAAGTTTGACATAACAGCCTGTGTTATATCGGGTTAGAATAAAATATGGTCCAAGTTCTGTGGTTATATAAACACCACAGGCTCCACTGAAGTCTAAAGCGAAAACACCCATTTACATCGTCAAAGGTTGTCTTTCTGTATATATCTTGCAGGGCAAGAATTTAATAACGAATATGAAATGAAAGTAGCTTGACTTAGCCTAGCTGTTCTCACAAGGCACAACTCCGCACTAAAAGTACTGGTTATGACTTAGATCCTTAGATGTTGAAAATCAGTACAGCTTCCTTGAAATTCAAGGAGGCGCACAGCATTTTACACCAGTTGCTATTCAGGCCCTTCTGTTTCATGGGCAAATCAAAGCCATGAAAGGTTTCTCTTTCCTACAGCAATTTTAACAGCATAAAAGGTAACAAGCGAGACCCCACTGTATTTTGTTCTTTACTTTCTTACACTTGCATAAGCAAAAATGCCAAGGATTTTGCAGTATATCTTTGAGGATGTTGGCTTTGGAGCTTGCAGAACTATTTTTAGGAAGGCTGCTGTGGACTCTTGCCTTTTGATTTGCTTTCCATTGAGATTACAAGGCTAAGCTTTGTTCCCTGGATAGAAATATTTAGCAGGGTGCTGAGGATAGGACTGAAAAGACAAGGAAATGTATCATCCACGTAACAAGTCAAACCCTGTAAAACCTGAACTCATAGTCTGTGGAAAGAATTTACATATACACATATTCCTAGTTTCCACTGAACAAAATTATTGCCAAAGAGATCAGACCACAGAAATAGACCTGCTCAGTGTCTCGGATTGCAGAGGGATCGGACTGTGTTTTCAGTTCCTGTGAAGCCTAATCTATAAATGAGAAATAGGCCTGAATCAATTGCTCATTGGCTTTGGAAGAAATTCACAACTGAATCAGATACATAAGTAACCTCAGATCATTTCTGAGCGTGTATTGGAAAAGCTGTTTTAGTTTCAGTTAAAGCTTCAGTAGCTTTAATTGGCTTCAGTGCACTGACATGGCATTTGACTTCCCACCCTCTTCTCTTGAGTCACAGCTTCCATTGCACAGGCTTGGAAAAATTGGGTGATACAAATAGCCTGGTGGGTGTCAGAGAAAGATATTTTTGGTTTTGTTTCCAGGGAGAAGCTTGCATCATGGGAGCAAAAAGGATCTACAGGAAGCGCAAGTCAGAGAAGAAATGCATGCAAGGAAAATATGCTGGGGCTATGACCTCGGAGCCATGCGTGTGCACAGAGGCAGACTTTGACTGGTGAGCAACGGGCACAAGAACTGTGTTCTCTCTCTATCACACCAATGCAGAGCTCACTAGAGAGGCTGTAGGCTTGCAGAGAGTAGATATTAATAAACATGTGAGTGGCTAAATAGGCTGCTCCCTGATAGGGCGGGTATGTCAAAAGAAAGGAAGGTGCAATAGATATATGTAATCTGCTAAGGTTCCCACAAAATTTATTCTGAACAGACCATTTTCCAGGTGACGTCTGAGCTCTGTGCAGCATTAACATAAAAGGTCCATTTAGCACATCTAACCTCAGCAACGACCAGGGGTGGCTGTGAAACTGGTATGTAAGATATATATAGTGTGTGTAAAAAAAAAAAAAGAAATAAAATAAATTCTTCATACATACATACACGCACACATGTATATATGTGTGAAAGTAAATATATGCATGTGCAAAGTAGGCCTTTAGCTTCCGGAAAGCAAGTATCTAGGGAATTCCTGGGTCATTTGTTATATCTGGACCATCATGTTTGATAGCATCTAACAGACACTGCATTCATGATTTGGGTTAATTTTCTTCTGAAGCCTCTTCTCCTCTGCTTTGTGCTATAGGAAATAGTCCATTGGTGAGTTATGAATGGCATGATAAAATGCTCAGCTTCTGTTTTCATTTCACG